TAATATTAAAATCTTTATTGTGTGTCAACGTCATCGGGATAAAGCAAGATGGAAAGACTTAGCGTCTCACAATAAACCAATACATTACATCAGGTGCGTCACATTGTACAGGAAGTAACAGAGTTAAAAGGAAATAAAAAGTCAAAATCAGGAAAGGCTCTAAGGAGGTCGATGACTCAGCCGACAGGATTTCCACAGGCAGAATTTTCCATATTTATAAGACATAGATACTGCTGTGTACTTGTTATGCAATTGCATTTTTAAAAAGACAACCTTGTCTTAGTTTTGACTTGTGCAGTGGGTTGGTCAGTAAAAAACCCTTTTTGCTATCAGTATTGTAAAATGGCAGTCATCACTCCATGGTATTTACAAGGGGTAAAATACAAGCACTGATAGATAGTAATGACTTTAATACTAAAGCACTGAAACACACAAGGTTACAAAATGCTTCACTAGATACGAGAGAGATAGGAGAATACTTTAAAGAAGTGTACATATCCCAACAAACAGTACCTACAAATACACACAGGTACCAATTTTCAGTGATATCAACTTTAATATCAGGAAATTAACTAAGCGTATACATATTTTCTTCCTCTCTCTTTTGCCATATTTTTCAAGTAACCTGTGTTTGACAACAGCATAATAAAACTGGAAGTTCTGTTTTTTGTGCCCCCCCACCTCCCATATGGCCACCCCTATGAAAAAATTCTGGAGACGCCCCTGCGTGGAGCAGTTAAAAGACCCGGATCAGGTGATCAGAGATCAGGTGATATAACACCTCAGCAGGCCATGCAGGGCTTTGTGATTGATAAAAATCTGCAGTGTGGTCTGAATTTCACTGGGAGCCAGTGAAGGGAAGCAAGTGTGTAGTTCAGGGCTCACAGCAAAGGATTTTAGCGATATTTCTTAGATGACTGGATGAGCTTAGAGACATGAGATTCAAAACTCAAACACCTGTCAAAAGTAATACCAACGTTTTGAGCACAGGATTTGGCATTATTGGCAAGTGCAGCCAATGTAGTGACTGACCTCTGTATAGAAACCCCACTTTTACCAGGACTGTGATAATAAAGTATTTATAAAGCATTCACTGTGGTAGTGAGAGGCTCTTGAGCTGACTTGACAGAAAACAGATCATACTACATCATAATAGTTATTTTGTGTAAGGAATTTAAATATGGGTCATTTAATTTAAATGAAATGAGAGAAGGAAACAAGCAAAGTGCATTTAAAAATAAGTAAAATAGGTTTTAAAATCTTAAATTCCTGCAGTATTATAATTAGGCTAAGGCTGTTAGTCTGTTCTGGCTCATATTCAGTGACAGATGAATGAAATGTGTGAGGACAGTCACACATTTCACATATTTGTAGTGCGTGCTGACCAGCGGCACACTGACATGATCGAGCGTACTGTTGTGGCTTTGGTTCGCCTCAGCGTTTGCCTACATCGTAGAGCAAGAGGTCAGGTGACGTTTTTGTTTTTTTTTTTGATTGAATATCACATGTTTGTGTTTAAATTCCTCTTTTCAGTGAATTCAAGTAATTCCTAGTGAATGCTTGTAAACAGTTGCGTAATTTGAGTACAGTGTGACACTGACTGCACTTAGTTTCTGTATCACTTCTAGTCCAGAGAAAGAAGAATTGAGTTTTTGTTCTTTTTTCTTTCCTCACTGCCATGTTATTACTTTCTCAGTCCAGTTTCTACATCTTCCACCCCCACCCTCACAGGGCATTGTAGGCACCGGAAAGACGATGAAGACTCTCCTGAAGCACGTCGAAGCCTTCGGGCCCAAAATGATCAAAGTAGCAGGGTAAAGCCGCCAAACAAAACCAGCTCAATTTCCTGCTTTGCGAATCACTGTTTTCCCCTTTCAGTCGAGACACACACACAGACACACAGAGAGGCAAAGACTAACATTGTGATGCAGATCTCAGGTACCGCAGGTTTTTTTGAAGTGACGCTGTCTCCTGAGACGGTTTGAGTCGGCTGTTGTAAATAATGTCTGCTTTTGTTTCCCTCAGATTGCTGGTGAAGAGAGTGCTGCATAGCTCAGCATGTGTTCCTGACTGTACGTACCTGACCAACCCTTTTATGGCTCAGTGAGTCATTCACAGTTAAAAAAATTGTTGCATTTGCCGAGTCCCAAACTATTGGAAATATTTGCCTTTGTCGTTTTGTGCTTTCAGATGTCGGCTTTGAGATACCCAATCGTTTTGTGGTTGGATATGCTTTAGACTACAATGAGTATTTTAGAGATCTCAGTGTAAGTCAGTGTCTGGCTTCTTTCTTTCTTTTTCTTTTTTTTTTTGACGACTGTATTGGGAATCCAGTAACACAATAAAGACCTGTGCTTTGGTGCTTCTTTTAGCACATTTGCGTGATCAGCGACACCGGGAAGATGAAATATAAGATTTAAAGAGAGGGCCGGCGATAGAGGCGACTGTCGAGCAGATGTCATCGGACAGCAAGCCCAGACACTTCCTGTGAGATGCCATTGACTTACAGCTGCTATGGTGACATCTGATCCCAATCATGCCTGCGTTGTTATAACATTCCTGGTTCCGAACATGTTAACATTTTTAACAACACACACTGCAACATTTAACTGGAGATTTGAACACAAAAAGCGCATGCTTGAGGATAAGTCGGAGCTTTGTTGCTTTGACACAGGTGATTCAGGTTTAAAACGTGTAGTGTTAAGTGGGGGGGGAATGCTGTTCTAACTCTATATCTAAAGCATCCAATCATCCCAGGTGTACTGCTTCTTTTATGAAATGTAAAGCATTCAATAACCACTGCATGTGAGGAATACCAACAAAACCTAAAATGAAAGGAAGTTGGGTTTTTTTTTTTAATTTGTTCTCCACCTGTGCGATGCCTTTTTAAAGTTTCATCTGATTTTCCATCACTTTTAACACACAGGGGAGAAACAGTTCAAGTCTTGTCAACACTAAGTGCCATTACTACCTCCTTTGTGTGTGTGTGTTTTCTTGTTTTTTCACTTGCTGTAGAGTACTTTTGTCATTCTCTGTATCAGTTTATGTTCTAACATACAATAAAATGTTTTTTTAAGATTTCTGCATTCTACTATTAATGTTCCCACATGATTTTATGAATGAATGTTTTAGTACTAATTGATTTACAATGGTTCCTTGGCTGAGCTATGAATATAAAGAAGACCTTGTGTAATATGTTTCTTAGGCTGATGATATACAAAAGGGGCTTGGAGTCTTTTTCTTTTTTTCACATGTCTTTTTAATGGTGTTGAGCTTCTCCTAATTATATGGAAAACTGGCACCTATATAGGCCCTGAAGTAGCAAAGCTTTAAACCAAAAGCATCCTGAAACATCAGGTTGCCATTGTTTTGTTTTAAAAAGGGGGTTTTAACTGTAAGTGAACTTACAAAATGAACAAAAGAGAGCTCGTTGTGCTGAGCTGCTGTGCTCTTTGTATGCACTTGACATGTGACTCCCTTTGCTTAAGCACTGAGCACAACGTGCCATAAAGAAAACCATCTCTTGGGACAGTGAATAGACCTTGCCTTTTTGACTCACCAGACCTCCAACAGTGATAAAATAAGAGCTACAACTGAATTACATTATTGCAACCCCTAAATTTGTAGTCAGTACTTTTTACAGTAGTGGAAGAAGTAGTCTGATCTTTTTCAGAAGCAAAAGCAGCAATGCACCACTGTAAATATTCACAATTACAGAAAAAGTTCATGTATAATATCTTACAATTGGATGTCAATAGCATTTCTCAGTTTACTATGGACTAAACTTCAATATAGTTGTAATATTTTAAAGCGGGGGTGTCAAACTACCTTTAATTAACAGGCCACATTCAGCCCAATATAATCTCAAGTGAGCTGTGTAGTCCAGCTAAACAAATGCACAAAAACCTTTTAATATAAATGTGTGTGACATAAATATGTGTTTATATCAGCATTACATGTCTGAAAGAATTAGTGCAATTTCAGCACTATGGGTGCATGGGTGCTACATGTGCATTACACATCACATTGTAATAAAAAAAAAAGTTTTTGGATCTAAATAACTACAGGCTTTAGTGCAGCTGACTTTAATGGAGGCTGAAATGAGTGATTTCTCCAGAATTACAAAGTCATACAAACGGAAACTAAAAATAATTGAAAACCCCCCCCCCAACATTTACAATACACAATAATAAACAATATATTTATTTAAAAAAATTTTTAAAATGAAGTTAATAACAGTACAATACTGGTACTGTGTAAGAGAAAAGTTCAAATTGCATTAATAAATAATATGTACACCATAAATCTAAGAAAAACAGCTGCTTGAAGATATAATGCTAAGTATTTAGGTTTTATATCAATTTTCAGAGCTGATATATCCCACTTGGACCCACTGAAAGTAGAACCGGCTGGACAGGACAGCTTTGTGAAATTCTCCTCCCTAACTGACCTCTGTAACAAAAGCTGCCAGTCCCAGGAACAGGTGGCTCCTTATGTTGGAGAGGCATAAAAGGGGCATTTGTCAGGGGCCCGAGAATCCGAGCACTTATTTCAGTCTGCAGCTAAAGTGCAGCGAAGGAGTGTCCATTTATTGTTAACTATCTGCTTCGTGGATAAGATGAAAGAAAAGATTTTATGCTGTGTGGTATGTGTGAAATCACCACTGCCCTCCACATTACTAGCTCAGCTCGACCTCACTTTGAACCGGGGCATGTGACTCCTCGTTCACCCTTGCTGTGCGTATTAAACCAAAACCACGACGAGTTTTTGAACGGCTTGAATTGCGGATTTGTTACACGATGCATCTTTTCATCTTCTCCCCTGTTCTCCCGGGAATACTGCTCTAATAGTTCACGGGAACGGTTAAAAAAACGCCACCGTTTACAAGCGCAGATACAAGCTTATTGTAAACTCGCGCCTCATTGGTCCGGTCAAATACAACCCCGCTCCTGATTGGCTGATAGTGTCCTGTTGACCGAAGGTGGACTCCCAGAGAGTCGGGAACAGTGGAGGCAAAAAAAAAAAAAAAAAAAATTCCGAACTGCACCATGCGCCTCCACTGAGTAGGTTTGGATTAATCACCGGAAAGTCGTTTGTACTCAGACTCTATTAAATTATGACAACGCCCTCCACACTGGACCATACACGTTATGTTTGTACTTTTTCTGTGTGTTTTTATGGATAAGCATCGCCGTCGTTGACAGCCTGTAATGACGCTTCTCAACTACACAGGTAACTTTGTTTTAACTCCAACCGTTAGCATGGAGGCTAATTGTTAGCAGCCTGTTGCCGCAGTTTGCTTGGTTGTCGCTTTTGCCCACTTTGCTAGTTTTACAGGGAGCTTCCATAAACACGCAAAAGGGGCAGCAGTGCCTCGTGTGGACGTTTGGAGCGCTTTTATTGTGGTATTTTATGTAAAGTAACAAAGGGAAAAGCTTCTTTTGTTGAGCGCTCGGGAACAACAGCTCGGCATGCTCCCTTCGTGTCTCATTTAAACATCGATTTCAACCAAGTGATTGAAATCCATCCTCTAAAAAGCACAAACGTCGGCTTTGTCGTGAAACACAAACGGCAAATAAAGCTCGTGTGTTTTTATTTTGTAAGAAATAGTTTCTGTGGGGTTTCGTGTCTCAATTTTGAATGCGACGGACATATTTCGCCCAGCCTCCCGACAGTCCCCAGTCCACTTGTTGCTGGCTATTCAGTTAATGCACCGCTGGCTCTCCACGTTGTTGTGCTTTACGCTGGTTATAGTCCTGGTGTTGGCTACTACAACATTGTTAGTCTTCATTAAGTTAGTTAAAATGAATTATTATTACAGTTGACTATCAAATTAAGTTTATTCTAACTTTTTATGATGTGCCGTCACATAGTATTACCCTGAATCAGCCTGTTTTCAAGCACCTGAGTGTGAAGCTCTCCAAGGATGAGACACAAAAACAGCATTTAGAAGTAGCGTTTGGTTAGGACCCTGTTGCATAATGCTGATTGTCTAGAATTAATCACGAGTGGTCTGCTATTATAAACAACCAAGGTATTCATTCATGTTGTTTGTACAGACTCTTGGAGTAGTGTGAGATGTAATTGCTGTGCAGCTGATTCCTAAATCTGCCTTTGAATTCATTTTTTTAAAATGCACTAAACACATATGTCATCTCATATCTCTCAAACAGATGGATTAAGAAATCCAGCAAGTATGGAGGTGTGAATCGGATTGGAGCATTTTTTTAACATCCTGGTGGAGCTACATTTTTCATGTGGTGCTTTACAGACATCAGCATTTTAACTGAAGCTAAATGATGGCATCACGGTGGGTTCCTTCTTGTGAAGACGATGAGAGGCAACGAGCAAGATCTTCTTTCTGTGAGGTGAGTATGAGGCAGACTTCTTTAAAGTCCTGAAATGTGTTAAATGCTGATGACAAAAGGGATTTCTGTGGCCAACTGATTGCAGTTTCAGTGTTATCCCACCTCCTTCAGTTTGGTTTTGGGTGGGGGTGGGATTTGTTTGACACCAAGGACCAGCTGTTTGTGTTTGTAGCAACCCCTGCTGAATTCTTTTGCTCTTTATGTCAACAACGTGCCTCTTATCTATTCTTGTCATAAATATGCCCATCAGATTTTTGTTTCTTTTGAGTGCTTCAGATTTTTCTCAACTAAGATTGGCTGTGGTAGATGAACAGATCAAAAGAACAGGTTTTGGTTACAACATTTAATCAGATTTGAAATTATAATCAAACTCAAACGATGGTGTTTATTCAAGACCCGTCTTTCAGATTTTTAAGCTGTGACCCCTATACCAGACAGGACACCATCTGCTCCTCTGAAAGCTTGCAGCCTGAATGAAGACCTTTATACTGTAATAAAGTAGGTAGCAACTGGGACTCTTTGAAATGAAAGGGCACCTATTTATAGTCTGTAGTTTTCTTTGATTTCCTCCATTGCCTTTAATCTAATATTCAGCTTGTCATTTAAGCCTCCCAAGTTTGCATGATCACCATCCCTAAATGAGGGACATACGGGTGATTATGTTGTTACTTTAAACTAGGTAGATGTGCTGAATTTGATTTTTGTATCTCAGACTCAGGGCAGCAGATAATGCCTAAAAAATTATAATGAATCAATTACAGAGTAATAGAGTTGGTTTTCCGGGGTTTCTTTTTCTAATTTATTCACAGGGATGAGGTTTTTTTGTTTGTTTTTTTTCTCCTAAGAGGCCTGAAATTAAAATTTCTGGATCAACCAGCACACCACATACTAGCGCATTCACTGTTGAAGCTCATTCAACAGACACAGCCTTAGCTGCATCTCACTGTCACAGCTAAGAAAACAAACTTAGATGATGTGCTTACCTTTTGTTATTTCAGCCATCTGGATACATGCTTGCCACTACTACACTCATTTAATGAATGAATAATACAGCATGAGAGAAAATAGACAGTTCTTTTACATAGGATCCCAGAAACCTGTTTGTGAATACTTTAGTAAGTGTTGATGTGCCATGAGGGAAAGCCACAGCATAGTGCCGTGAGAGGAAATCCTCCTTTTTAGCACTCCCTCTAATAAGACTACCACACAAACCAATTCATGTGCTAATTTTGAGCCGGAAACCCCCTGGAGTCTCTGGTTCAGGGATTTTCTGGAAATGATGACACTGGATTTAATTAATGACCTAAGAATTTTCCTAGGCGGATTTTCACTTTCTCTTAGTATCTTAAAAGAGCGTGCAATGGCTGCAGTCATTGGGAATCAAGAAAATCATTTGGATACAAGACTTGTATATTAATTTAGAGAAAGCATGTCACTGTTGGTGTTCTTGGGATTACATCAGGGGGACGGGAGCTGGATCTGGGGGTGGGGGAAAAGTCTTTCTCACCCACCCTTGCTTAATTCTTTACTAGTCTGTCCTGTTCTTTTAAAGTTTTCTCATCCGTTATAACTATTAGACATGTGGAAAGTGTTTATAGTGAATACTGTGAAGCAGACGCTTAAAAATGGAGGAAAAATATCTGTTATTTGAATCAAGAGTTTGATTGGTGGCATTATCCTCCTCCACACTGGAGTGTCTGTCTGCTTTATCAGCTGAATAGTGCGTGGTATTCAGACATTGCAGCTGAATCCAAATAGCAGACAGCCCTTCCTCTGCTTGGATTTCAGACATTCATTTAGCGGCACAGTGCTGCTTAGTGCTGATGAGTGTGCTGTTGTGTGATTATGTGTGTTTTAGGAATTTCTATATTGGCCTATGGTGTTTACTAAATCAAACTCTATTGTATGGGTTTTCCCCCCTACAGCTTCTGTATGATGAATGCCTTTTTCATGATGGATAATTCCAGCTTTTCATTCTCTAGTAGAACAACAGAAATGAGAGTGGTTGGAACTGGATTATTGTTTTGGATGATGAAGCATGATCCATATTTAGCACCGTAGGAGACCATTGACAAACAGACTTCCCCTGTCACCACAACCCTGGCTTCATTAAAGCTCAGTGTTTATCTGATTTAGGCTTGCTGCCTTTTTACAGAACCCTCTGCGCAGGCATCGTATGGTTAACTGATGGCAATCGGAAGGGAAAATTGACCTTCAATTGGATAGAAGTCGTCTGTTACTTCCTGTTGCGTTATGATTGTGTCTGCAGCGTCTCATGAGAGAACATAAGAGATGGGCTGTGTGATTCAGTTTTTCCTCACTGTGTTGTAAAACATCTATGTCTACACATGGAAAACTGTGTGACATGCTCTGTGTCTTGTTCAAACAACTAAGAAAGATTACAGATGGTTACAGACAAATCCAATAAGAGGGGATATTTTCCTTTTTAACAACTGCTCACTAAATCAGTTTTCTTGAAAGCAAAATGCCCGTTACACATGTCCCAATGTTTTTGGTCCAAAACCTAAAATATAGGCAGTTCTATCAAATATGTTAACATGTTATTCGTTTTCAGTAGGTTGTATTTTTAGTAAAATTTGTGAGATAATCCCAGTGTTTTTGACATGTCTGCTCAGAAAACAAGTGGCATCAGTAATTTCACCCATTGAGGAGAATGAAAAATTAAAGCAAATGATCCTGCAGAGAACTGAAGTATCACTGCAACTCCTTGGTGCTGAGCTTTTTTGAAATTGTCTTTTTTTTTTTTTTAATAATTCACTGCTAGTCTTTCGCGTATGCAAAGAGGCTTCTCCGTGCCCTCTGGGGTTTCAGTAACGATCAACAGAAAGCATGTTCAAAATTACAACCAAGGGGTGGGCTTACAGCTGCTGAGCAAGACTGTTTATTTACCAGCTTTAATGTTTATAACAGCAGCATTGTATGACAAACTCATACGGGATGTAACAGGATTTCTTTCAGAAAAGTTGTTAACCCTGGCATGTTCGACCAGCACAGTGTGGACTAATGAGGATATTAAGCTTTATAAGACAACGAGATAAGACAATGGTTGTGCCGTGATTTTTTTTTTTTTTCCCTTTTTTTTTGAGTGTGGGGTATATTTTTTAAAAATTTTAATTATCACTCAAAGAGAAACCAACAGTATGTCTTGTTTTGTTTTTTTGTGTTGTTTTTTTTTGGGTGGGGGGGGGGTTCTCTCTCTCTCTCTCTCCCCCTTTTCACATTGTGCAAAACTTCTATGTGCCCTCTTTCACAGGTGGTGCTCTCTGCTGCTGACAGAGCAGAGTAGATTCAGATAGACGTGTTCTTGCAACAGGCGAGTAGGATCTCTGACAGCGGTACAGGAGATGGCTTGTCCCAAAAGTTGCTCGTTTGGCTTCTAGTTGTTTTTGTTTATAAAAGATTTCTAGAGAGATTTCTATGAGAGGTGACTAATTATACTGATAAAGTAGCTAAGCTGACAACAGTGAGAGGTGAAGGAAAGATGATCACTGCTGTGAGTGAGAGGGGGTATCAGGTGCCAAGGTGAGATGGCATTTCCACATTTTAAAACAACAGAGATCAAATTACTGCTCAACAAACCAGAAGTCAAATGTGTGCTAGTAATGGAGTACACCTCGGCCTGAAGGAATGCCATTTGGGTTTTATGTGACACTAAGACTACGTCCACACTAACCCGGATAGATGTGAAAACGGCATTTTCGTCTGAAAACGCTCTGTGTCCACACTAGCGTTTTCAGTCGTTTTCACAGAGTTGTGCGTCCACATTGAAACGGCCAAAAACGCTTATATTCCAGTCCTGCGCTTTCACAAAAGCGAGTGAGAATTAAAGAATTTGAAGAAAAGCTATCTGGAGCATGTACAAACTGATATTAATCTTTTTTAGGGCTGTCAAAATTGAGAGCAGTCAAAACAACTGCTGTATAATGCACTCCGCTATCTTTGTTTAATCGGTCACATGACTGCATCACATGACTGAAATGCGTCATCGTCTTAGAAAGCCTGCGGTTTCGAGTGTCCGCAACGGGACAGCTCCGTTTTGAAATGTATGCGTTTTCAAAACGCTGTGTTTTTCCTTTGGGAAAGCGCCGTCTCAGTGTGGACGGGAGGCCAAAACGGAGAGAAAACGATGCGTTTTCAAACAAAAATGCATTAGTGTGGACTAGGGCTGGGCGATATATCGAGTTTTTTTAAAAATATCGATATATTTTCATACGAGATATAAGATGTGACAATATCGTTTATATCGATATAGTCTATGTGTTATAATTATACTTGTGGAGCCGCAGGTTTGCCTCTCTTTCGTCCACTTTTGTCTCTACGCAACGTTACTCGGCCTCGCCTCTCCTTCACTGAACACAACTCCGCCTCCCCCATAGCTTCACCTGCAGGCAATGACAAGATGAAAGCAGAAAATCTCCGTTAGCGAGTTACTGTGCGTGGGGCTGGACAGCGTCAACGTGTTAGCGAGCTAACCGCGCTAACGACATGCAGCCAGGAGGGGCTGCACGGCCTAAAATCCTTTCATTTTCTCAAAAATCGACAGTGCGTCTTATGTATGAATTCTGGTTGTGCTTACTGACCGCGAACCGATTTTATGTGGTACACAGCGCTCGGCAATCTGTCAAAAAATGTTTTAATATGACTTTGCTAAGCTACGGAGCTGCACCACTTGATGGATTGTCGGAGGATTACGGCTACCGAGGAGGAGCCTCGCGGAGTGATACGTACTGTGTGTGTATAAGGACCACAAATGGCACCTGTTCAGAGACGTGGTGCAGCTGTGAAATCTGTCTCTTTGTTATTATGCTCAGCGTCTATTAGTTTACATTTTGACTGCACAATTGTGAGCTTTTTGTTATGCACAAAAAACAACATTGTTTTCTTTTATTTATGGACCATGATTATTTAATAAATGCTGATGATTTATTTTTGAGTAATTTCTTCATGTACATCTACGCTGTATGTAAATAAAAGTGCCC